ATCTCTCTCTCTCTCTCTCTCTCTCTCTGTGTCACTGTATCTCTGTCTGTCTTCCTCTATCACTCTCTGTGTCTCTCTCACTCTCTCTGTCTGTCTGTCTCTGTGTCTGTATCTGTCACTCTGTCTCTGACCGTCTCTGTCTCTGTCTCTGTGTGTCTGTCTCTGTCTCTTTGTATTTGTGTATCTCTCTTTCTGTCTCTCTCTCTTTGTGTATCTGTCTGTCTCTCTCTCTTTCTCTCTCTGTCTCTTTCTCTCTCTGTGTCTCTCTCTCATTGTCTGTCTCTGTCTCTCTCACACACACCCACACACCTCAAAGCCCAATCTGGTTTACAATTAATTTCCTCCATTTCTTAAGCTTCAACCCAAAACCTCAAAACCACCCTGGAGGGTTGGGAATTTACAGTAAACAACACCTGAACCTCTGCCCAAAGAAGAAGGGACAACTCCAGCCTCACCCAAGGAAGCCATAAAATATATATTTGGGATTCTTCCCCCTTCCGGGATACATGATACATTTTGAAGTGGAGCCCGAAAGGCAGAGGAAGTGACATTTGCGTCTTTCCATCTCTGGAGAGCCTTCCACAGGTGCTGTTTTCCATTCTGCGGTTTTTCAATTCTGACCCGGTTTCCATTTTGAGCACATTGGCAGCCGCGTCGATTTTCAGAAGCTGGGTTGAGAACTGGGCATATGGGTGGGATGAGACTTTGCAAAGCCCACGATCCGTGGGATGGTTGCAACTGATATTTTTGCGGTCTTCTTTCCTGCTCTCATCTGCCTGGGAAAGTACCATATTCTTCGGAGTATAAGACACATCTTTTTCCCTCAAAAAAGAGGCTGAAAATCTGGGTGTGTCTTATACACTGAATATAGCATTTTTGGCCTCTTTTGGCCCTATGCATGCTTCTTTTTTGACCAAAAGGGCCAGTTTTTGCAAAAAACGGGCCGTTTTTGGGAGGCCTGCAGAGTGCAAAAAACTTTTTTTTTATTTGCCTCTTCAAAATCTTATAATCTGAAAAACACACCCATTTTCGTGAAAAACGGTCCATGTTTTGCTCGTTTTTGCCCCCCCCCCAGTCGCAGCCCCGTTTGGCCATGCGCCAGTAAAGGCCCCTGCCCCTCCTGCCCCCCCCCCACTTTCCAGGCAATCAACCCAGGTTGGGGAACTCTGCCCTAAAAGGCCAAAGCTATCTTCCACTTTGATATCTTCACAGTCATTTTTTTAACATTTAACATTTTATTGAGATTTATAGGCCGCCCTTCTCCCTGAGGGGACTCAGGGCGGCTTACAATCACAAGGGGAGGGGGTGCAACCAAGAGACAAACAATAGTGAACAAAATAAAATGGTAAACCACAACATGCATTCAACAGTCAGAGGTCGGAGCTGCAACTGAGAAGGCTCTCCTCCGCGTAGTCGCCAGTCGGCACTGACTGGCGGATGGAATTCGGAGGAGGCCCAGCCTGTGTGATCTAATCGGTCAGAGGGAGGTGATCGGCAGAAGGCGGTCTCTCAAATATCCAGATCCACTACCATGGAGTGCTTTAAAGGTGGTCATCAATACCCTGAAGCGCACCCGGAGACCAACAGGTAGCCAGTGCAGCTCGCGGAGGATGGGTGTAATGTGGGCGAACCGCGGTGCGCCCACTATCACTCGCGCGGCTGCATTCTGGACTAACTGCAGTCGCCGGATGCTCTTCAAGGGCAACCCCATGTAGAGCCCATTACAGTATTCCAGCCTAGAGATCACAAGGGCTCGAGTGACTGTTGCGAGAGCCTCCCGGTTCAGGTAGGGCCGTAACTGGCGGACCAGGCGAACCTGGGCAAATGCCCCCCTGGTCACAGCCGACAGCTGATGGTTGAAAGTCAGCTGTGAATCCAGGAGGACTCCTAAGTTACGGACCCTGTCTGAGGGGTATAAAATTTGACCCCCCAGCCTGAGTGTTGGAATGTCAGCCAAATTATTGGGAGGGAAGCACAACAGCCACTCGGTCTTGTCCAGGTTGTCAGTCAGTTCTAAATCTGTTTCTTGCACAGTGGTGGGTTGCTAATCCTGTTCCAACCGGTTCGTCCTCGTGCACACGCGCAGTTCACGCATGCGTCGTAGCGCCTGCGCGATGCTCCAGTTGCTCGCGGAGAATCGCGCAGGCATTGTATGTGCCATCCAGCTGCTCGTGGAGAATTGCGTGGAAGCACAGAAGCCTTCAAAGACTGGTAAGGAGCGCGGGCGGGCGGGTGGGCCCTTCGCCGTTCCCAGAAGTTACTTACTTCCGGGTTTGCCGACCAACCGATTCGCGGGGACCGCCGCGAACCGGTTGAAACCCATCCCTGTTCTTGTAGCTGTTGCATTTAGTTTGGCCTTCTTTACATTTAAAGCTTATTCCCAATTTTTTCCCTCTGCTCCTCGAGTTTACACACACAGATGGAATGTGTATAATTCAAGATGCATTGGCTTCCAAAGTCTATAAAAACATAACAATGCAGCCATTTATCCCAAGGCGCATTTGGAAGATGAAAAGAAAGTTAAGACTTACGCTCATTGTGGCATTAATCTCAGCTACTGTTTCCTCGTCAGTTGGAAACTGGTAAATCTGGACTCCGTTGCTCACCAACTCGCTCATGATTTTGCTTTTGAATTTATGCAACTCGTTCTTGGCAATGGTGTCCGCTTTGGCTATTATCGGGATGATATTCACCTGCAAGGAAGGACAATTATGTTGCGTCAGTTCCTGGTGAGGGCAGAAGAGGAAAAGAAAAGCTACTCCGATGAGCAGGTTAAAAAAAAATACAGGTAGTTCTCAATTAACGACTGTAATTGAGTCCCGAATGATGGTTGTAAGTCATGCTAATCGTTAAGCAGGTCATGCTGTGACCAATCTATTTTACTATTTTTTTAAATACTGGTCATTAAGCGAATCGCTATGGTTATTGTTCTTGGCTTCCCAAGAGCATGAAGCAAACCTCTCGTCCCGACAAAAATCCCTTTATTAATTTACTAATTAATTTATTAATTTACTGTGAAATTACTGTGTTCATTCACATCCAAAGTCTTTCAAGGGAGAATTTACGGTCACAGACCTTATCTGGCTTGGAGAGCTGCCAGGCCGATATCTGCACAACTTGGTAAGGAGTCTCAAGAGAGTCACAAACATTAAAAGGACTAATTGTCTCCTGCAAACTCCATTCCCCTTTTGCTCCTCTTTAATTCCCTCTGGGAGGAGCCATTCATCATCCACCTGTGGCCTTACTCCCAAGTCGACCTCTGTTCTTTAGCTGTTCCCTTCGTCTGGCAACTCTGTGCATGCGCACACTGGGAACAGGCTCCACCTGTTCTTCTGCCTCACTGATGTCTAACTCTGAAGGCAGCTGATAAGTGGCATACGACTCTGGCCCCCTCTCTGCCTCCAACACCGAGCCTTCCCCAGACTCCAGGACTGGCCCATGTTCTTCCCCAACCTCCTCATTGTCTGAATCTGCTGCCAGCTCTGCTGGCTGTTGCTGGGCCACAGCAATACCACTTCACAGAGCTCTGCAGCCCTCTCTAAGCAGTTTACAGAGTCAACGTATTGCCCCCAATAATTTGAGTCCTCAGTTTACCCACCTCGGAACGATGGAAGGCTCAGTCAACCTTGAGCGGTGACAATTAAACTGCTGGCAGCCAGCAGCCAGCAGAATTAGCCTGCAACACTACATTCTAACCACTGTGCCACCACGCCTCGTGTAAGTCGAAGGCTCCCTGTAGTAAGATTTATGGAGGCTTGAAAATAATCACTTTTATTAAGCTACCTGGATCATGTTGCCCACTTGAAGTAGACATAACTGATAGCTCCATTCGTGCTAAGTT